CTTTATACCAACGACCTGATGGAAGCAGTTGAAAATCATTAAAGAGAGGGTGATCTGAACACAACATGACAGAGGTTGCCTTCCTCAACACCTGCCTGTTATAGAAGTCCACAAGCTGGACCTGAGATCTCTCTGAAATCTAACCAGCCACTTTAACCAGGTTACTAAGTCCGGTCTTACTATTCAAAGACATATTACCATACCAAGCAGTGATACAGAAGGTTAAAACAGATTCAATAAAACTTTTATTAAAAAAAGAGTCATCATTTCAGATGAAACATTAAACCTCTCCCACCAGCTGAGAGACGTCCTCTCCGCAGTAGGCGCTGGGTTGGCCCAGGTCCTCCTGTTCAAACACCTGAAATCACCTGAGCAGCGGCTCCATTCGCCACACGAACATTTTAGGACGTTATTTGTGTTGTTACTGTAACGATATTCCCTTTTTAAACATCTCTCCCATCTTTCATATGACGATAAATTAGCTCTGAGGGTTAAAAATGTTTGTGTGGGATGGAAAAACAAGCTGAACCAACACTAACGCTCATATCACTGAGTGAAACAGCGCCCTTTTAATGTAGTGGAATACAGTGCTACACTCTCACTCGGAACCAATTAGCTTCCCCTGAAGAAAATAAATAAATAAAAAAGGCTGACCGGTCAATCAAATGACGGTAATGTGTTCTTGACCTCGGGTTTTGACCTGTTTTGTGTAACAGGTGCTTTATAGCTCACGCTGCTTCACATCACTGATGGTCCACAGATTCCTCTGGGTTTTAGTTCACAATTCCATGACACAGTGACATCACTGGGTAGGTCCTTCAGTGACAGGCTGCTTTCCTGCTGAGCTCAGATTATACTGTGTGTAAAATTCCATAAACACTGTGAAATCACACAGGACCTCTGGTAAATAAGCAGTTACCAGCTACCTCTAATATTTAACTTTTTATTAAAATGAATTAATACTTCTTTTTCTGTTTAGCTGTTATTTATAGCGCCTGTGATCAGAAGTGAAAGCATGCCAGTCTCTGGGGGATATTTCTATTTCTCTTCCCTGTAATTGACGAAAAACAGAAGTGAAGAGTGCGAGAAAGACTCTCCTTTGACGTAACCACACTTACACAATGCCACTCACTGTCCCAGCACCTGCAGACTCCGCCTACTTCCTGCATTGCTGTAATCATTACTGTCATACCTGTAATCTGTAATGAGCGAGTTTCATATTCACAAATTATCTCTGCTGGGATGCTCACAGACAGCACTGACCTTTGAACCCATTACATCATTACTGCGGGAACGCAGACTGTGCGCCCCTGACTCTGGGACAAACATCCATTAAACAATCATGAAACTACAGATCCACATCTGCTCTGATCTCAGGGCGAGCGCTGTCACCTCGCAGCAGCACGGTCATCCGTGATGTCAGCCTGCACCCGACACAACTCGGCCTTCACACCCACACAGGCGGATTCAGGGCATTCACAGCGCACGCTGCACTCAGCTACATACACATTAATGTGTAAATCTGATCCCTGAAAATAATCATCATTATCGTTTCAGTGTGGTCTCCATACCATACAGAAGCTTCAGCTGCGATCACAGGGAACATTTCTGCTTTGCCAGCATTTCATTTTAATTTTGACTAAGCAAGCCACTCGCAGCTCTCAGAGGATTATTACAGCCTAGCCTGCCAACTGGTGCTACAGAGAAGTGAAAGCTCCAACTTCCGACTCTGAAAGTTCTTCTTCCAGATGCTGACGTTTCTTCCAGCAGCTGCTTTCACACGCCAGTCAGCGTGTTTTTGATGGTTTCTATTTTGACTTCCACTTCCTCTTCTATCAGCATCAGTTTCAACATGTTTCGGCATTTTGGTATGATTTGGAGCCTGAAGCTCCAGCACAGAGCACGTTTAAATAAGCGTTACCGGGGCTGTCTCTGTGTCACTTGTTCACTCACAGAGCACGTTTGGATGCAGTCACACTTTAAAACCTTTATTTAAACAGGAAACTGGCACCACTGACAACCAGAGAAACTCCCAGCCTGAGAGACAACGGTGTTAACCGTTGAGTCTGAGCTTTATTACAACATTTCTTTGTCTCAGTTTTAAATGTTTTGCTCAGTTTGTTGTAAAGTATTTCTGGGCTTTTATATTATTCGTCATATTTCTAATGTTGGCGCCTCTCCTCTGCATGCTAGTGCCTTTGTCTTTGTTCCCTCCCTGCTATGGATTGACTTCCTGCCTCCTGATTCGCTACTTGTTTCCACCTGTGTCTGATTTTTACAAACCCAGCTGGAACTGTAAGACATCACTGCCTATGGAGCTGACAGCTGGCACATCTGGAAAGGCTCCATCAGTGCTCAAAGGTACAAACAGGTGTTAGAGCAACATCTGCGCCATACAAATGCTTTTTTCAGGAAGGCTGCTGTGTTTGACCGGGATGATGCTAAACTGTAGACTGCATCCATTCCAGCAGTACGGCTTCAGAGGAGAAGAGTCCAGCCGCTGGACCGGCCCACCTGCTCTCCAGAGCTTTGACCAGCCAAGAACATCTGGAGCATCATAAAAGCAACAACAGCAGCCAGGACTGCTGAATCCTACATCAGACCAGAACAGCTGCTGCCCTATGTTTTACTCAAAGACTGACTTCATAAACCTGAAAATACAAGCTAAGCCTGAAGTTTCCTCCTAAAGCTAACAGTCTGTGATGTAAAGGCCTCACGTCCGCTCCTTGTGCTCCTGTTTTTCTCTCTGATCCTCGGCTTGTGTTCACCCAATAACATCTAATTTCATATTGTAAACTCCACCTCTCTCCACCTGACAACTTTACCTTGACTTTCAGCATCAAACACAGAGCAGCAGCTTCATGACTTTAAATGCTCATTCTCCTAAAAGCTGAAACCAGCACCCTGACTGTCCCACTGTGGTCACAGATTAGTCATGCCGCTCGGTGATAGGCTGCCTGCTTCCAGACCGTCAGGACCAACACTCCATCAGGTCTCACTGTGCCGCTGTTAATAATCTGCACAGAGGGAGGAAAACCATCTGAGGCTTGTTTTTAACCCCACCACCAAGAGGCAAAACATAAATTTACACACACATCACTGCAGAGAAGGATGCTGAGAGCACAGAGCAGCACGGCCGGTTACTGTCACCATAGCAACGAGTTCACAGGGTGAAAGGGGCAGAATCTGGCAGTGCTCTAAACCTCCAACATAATACTTCCTGCTCCGCCCTAAGACACAGCACACATATTAAATACACACACACACACAAGCCCGTTCAGCTATCTTAGTGAGGACCTTCATTGACATAATGGTTTTCCTAGCCCCTTACCCTTACCCTAACCATTAAAAATGAATACCTAACCCTAACCCTAAACCTAACCATAACCTAATTGTAAGCCTGACACTAAAACCACATTCTGAGCCTCAAAAAGGCCTTCAAACTTGTGAGGACCGGTGAGTGTGTCCTCACAAGTGACTGTTGGTTCTCACAAGTATAGTAGAATGCAGATTTCGGTCCTCACAAAGATAGCTAGACAGGAATACACACACACAGTCGTGTTTTTATATCTTTGTGGGGCCATCTAACTGATATTATGCTTTCCATAGCTGCTTACCCTAACCCCACCCATCACAATAAACACCTAACCCTAAACCTAACCATAATCTAATTGTAACCCAGTCACTAAAACCACATTTTGAGTCTCAAAAATGCCTTCAAAATGTCCCCATAAGGGCTGTTGGTCCCCACAAGTATAGTGGCATTCCAACTTTTGGGCCTCATAAAGCTAACTAAACTTTGGTACACACAAATACACACACACAGCACACATGTTACAGTTTTTCTTGATTGCTTTGACCTGCCTAAAGAAACTGGGATCCACTCAGTTTTCAAAATTATCCAAAATGGAGATTTCTTATACTGTAACAGATTTTGGTTTACGTGTATTATCTGTAATATTTGAAGTCTAATTTGACACAGCTTGTGTAGAAAGATAACACACAGCACTGCCATGAAGGCTGTGTAACGGGCTACTCGCACTGAGTGCTGCATTTTGTATTTTGTTGTCCATCGTGTAATGATTTATTGGATGAGCTCAAACACTTGTTCACAAGTTGTTGTTTGAAGGCAAAATTTTCTTTTGCTTCACATTTTAAATGTTTTGGCACAGTTAGAGCCTTTTGCGAATAAGATGTGTCACTTTGACCACAAGTGTCTCTGTTCAGGCCTGTGTGTTTGCTGTCATTCAGCAGTCAAGAAAAACTGTAAACACACACACATCCTGAAGCTGAGCTTCTTCAGAGGAGCAGCAGGAGGTGGAGGGAAAGCAGCAGAGTAGCTCTGGCTCCATCTCCTGGACGCTGCGGTGTCTACTGTGCAGCCCTCTTAAGACCTCTGACAAACAGTCAGTACTTCAACATGAATATTAATACTTTGATGAATAATTTTTCTTGATCCATGCTCAATCATCCAGGCAAGGAAATCCCAGGTCGATTCTGTTCATCTGGATGTTTTCAGTGTGAGAAACGTTTCGTCATCAACCAGGTGACTTCTTCAGGCCTGCATGACTCTATTGTTCATTCAGTGGGCTAGTTTCTCCCACTAAAAACGTCCAGAATAATAATTTCCTCTTTTACACCCACATTCACATGTTTACAAACCACATTAAGGATGTAGTCGTAGGATGCAGAGGCGGTATAATAATACAATTTAGGTATAATAATAGATAACTTATCTAACTAACAACTAATTGCAACTTGCATTAAAAACACAAGTTAAAAAATGTGAATAGAGTCAAATTTGCAACAATTTAATTACGGAGGTCTCAGTAATGTACATCAGTGCCATGATGTTCACCACTGCATACAAAGACTCTTAGAGGCCTTGGAAACATCATGGTTCCTTAAACTGGGAAAACCTGATTAAATGTGCAGATATTCTACCTGTGTATAAAATTCACACACAGTCCTAAATTTTTGTTTTCGTCTCTGGAATTTTGCAGATTTATCTTAAAAATAAAATAAATAAAAATACAGAATGAAACACACTGCTAAACAACAAAACTTAGGCATATATAAAAGAGACACACTTCATCCTCTCACACACACACACACAGTTACAGAGTGTTACAATGGGCTGAGCCGCAGTAATCCTATAAAGTGTCTGCAGTGCAGGGAGGAGAAACCAAACAGCCACTCAACAAACACATGGAACAACACTCAGCTGCACATCTGCACCACAAAGGTCAAAGGCCACTCGCCGAAGACATCAATGTTTTTGGACAGAGGACACAGATGGTCTGAAAGAGGAGTAAAGAGCCCATCTATGTCCACTGTAAACGGTCATCATTGACCAAAAGTGGTGGCCTATGACACCAACTGTCACAGTCCACTCTGAGATTCTTCCCGGGTGTTTCAACCACCACTCACACCTTGCTTCAGGTGACCTCAGCAGGTCAGGTCATGTCTTTTCTTTACTTCGAATATTTAAAAATTTCTGTTATTATTCACAGGTGAGGACTTAATTGGGTCCAAACACAACGTGAAGGCAGTGCAACACTTTGATTTTCTAACCTGATATGCAGCCAGGACAGCATGGGTGTGGTTCCACCTCCAAACACCCACACGGTGAAGAAGACGATGAGCAGCGTAGTGGTGAACATCATCTGACGGGCGTACGTAGCTGTGTCGCGTATGGCCAAGGCGAACGCCATCGCCCCACGCAAACCTGCAGAAAGAGATCCTGAAACCACCCAGCCCGACACGACGAGCTAGAACTACAGAGACAGGAAGCGCTCCTCATACCTGCAAACATCATCATGTGCTGGAAGTTTCCTTTGATCTTGTGCCTTCGACCGAGGTTGAGAAGAAAGGAGAGCGGGTAGATATTCAGAGCTCTTCCGATGAAAATGGCAATCTGACGGCCCGGGTTAAGAAGTTTTAATGCTGGGAAGAAAGGATGCTTGTGGTATATGTGAGGTCACACACAAAAATATCAAAAGGGACAAATCAGACCAGAGTGTACTGAGCTCCATCTACTGCCCTGCCTGGTTTCTTAGTTTTTCACGTACATGTTTCAGATGATCAAATAAACTTTAATACTAGACAAAGATCTGAGATCTGTTCAGTGTCACTGCCACGCCCAGGCCTGATCACTGTCAAAGCTGCTGAATCACAAAATAGAAGTTGTCTGACAAAGTGAAGCAGGCTAAAAGATGTAAAGAAACAGCTGAGAAACAAAGTCACTGACCTCTATCAGTCTGGAAAGGATTACAGAGGCAGGTAGGTTTACATAACCCCTTTTCCCTTGAAAATTGAAATCATCTTTTAAAAACTGTCCCAGTTGTCTTTGTCTAATATTAACATTCGCTGGATGATCTGAAAACACACAAGCGTGACCAATATGTGAAAAAAGAGGAAAGGAGGGTGCAGCAGGTAGTTTTCAGCGCTGCAGGTACTACTCTGACAATGAGAGAAGCTCAGAAAGGATACGAAGGCTCCGATGATGAAGACGGGGCTGAAAATGTGATTCTGGAAGGTGAATAGAGCCAAGCCCATGTAGGAGAAGATGAAGTTCTCAGCCAGGAAATGAAGAACCTCAAAAAGCTGCAGTTTAAAAATATTCATCATCATTTAGAATCATAAAATATGTGAATGTGGTTACACAGTAAACAGGATGAGCCTCATCATGCCTTTAGGTTAGCAGAACAGATAATGTTACATTTAATGATGAATTGCTATAATGATCCACTCTTTGCAGTAACTGGAGACCAACTGAGAAATGTTTAGTTAATCTCAGTTCAGCTGCTTATCTGAAGAAACTTCTAATATTACATTTGTAGTGTTAGTGAGACGATTTAACAGTTTATCACTTCTGTTTATGAATTTTATCTTGTCGTCCACTTCAGGGTTATTACTGGTGTGATAAAACTTTATTTAAGTAAAATAACAATAAAAACAGAACTATACTGTGTTCAAGTTTAAAGGTTAAAAACAGAAATGTATATTGAACCAGGCCTCCTGGGAGGGATCCAGGGGCGTGTGCGCTGTTTGTTCCCTAAAATGACTCAGTAACCTTCCTGCTGCTCCGTGACACCGCCCCTTTTTCAATGGCAGCGCCATGTACTGATCCAAACTGTGTTCCTGCTAATCTCATCCTGTCCCTCAGACCAAACCCCCCCACATGGAACTGAGCAGTCAGGGGGGGAAATTAAGGTCACAGTCGGCTCATCGGGCAGGCACCATCTGGCCCAGACGCCAGATGGCTGGGGGGGCATGCGCGGGGGTGGGGTCACATGTTCACATACCTGCTTGGTGCGCTTTGTGGACTCTTCAGAGAGGTTGTTGTAGGTGTAGTGAGCCTGCGTGATGCCACAAAACAGCACGGCCACAACGCCTGCAGGACAACGTACACACACACACACAATTTAGAATCACCAGTTAAAACCCCACTGACGGCATGTGTTGGACTGTGGCAGGAAGCTGGCATAACCAGAGAGAACATGCAGACAGAAAGGCCCCGCCCACATAGTAGTGAGTGTGGAGTCCAACCTAGGACGTTCTTGCTGTGAGGCAACAGTGCTGACCACTGCACCACTGTCCTCCCACCTCAGCCATCAGATTATTTTGAATATCTGAACCCATTCTGACTCCTGACCACATCTGTGTGTGTGTGTGCGTGGGGGGGGGGTAACACAGAATCTGTGAGGATGCTTTAAGCAGGTGTGTAATCTCTCTGAGGTGCAGTGAACGTAAAGCGTGGATAAAGCAGAAATTCTCACTCACACCTGTGCAGGTTGTGTCCCCCACAGCCATCGCAGACAGTCAATGGATGACAGCTGAATATCTGTTGTGTTGATGCAGATTTCTTTTTTTCTTGGATGGAAATAAATGGAGCAGTTTTGATTCTTGTAAAATGTTCTTCTACATTTTCAGGTGACTTTTCCAAGCTTGTTAGCAGTGGATGGTGCTGTTCGGATCTGATTTGACAGTGTGCCTGTAACACATCCTTACAGCTGACTGTTTCCTGTATAAGCGCTCTATGAATAACCTTTTATGATGTATTCTGATGATAAACGTGGGGCGGAACGGAACAGTGTAAATCTGTGAACAGGACGAAGTGCTGCATGTGAAGCGAGTCGCCTGGTGATGATCAAAATGGCAAGGCTGATGTTTGTGACACGTCAGCTCACCTGTGAAGCCGCAGGCCTCGGCGAGGAGGAAGGTGCTCCAGGACATGAGGAAGAAGAGGGCCGTCTCCAGCAGCGGGAAGCAGTGCAGCTTGGTGAACTTGGTGACGTAAGGTTCCGGTCAAAGAGCGTAAACAGGGGACTGAGACACCAGTTGGCAAATGTGAACGTAGCCCCACCCCCGCAGTCAGATGATCTGTCCTATCCAGCTTACAATATTTACTGAAGACACGTACGTCTTTACCTCTACGTCAAAGGTTCTCAGCAGACATCCACCTTTAAAACCCACCCACTCATCCTCACAACCTCTCTCAGGACCTAAATTTGCGTGATCAGTGTTATTATACATTACAATTATTACAATACAATTACAATACAGATTATTATACAGATGTTTGTCCACCTCACAACCACGACCTCCACTCAGGGAGCTAAAATCAGACTATTAGAAAATAATCTGACCCAGAAAAATCCCAGCTGGAAAAGGGACTGTTCAATTGCTCTCACCTGAGCTCACATCTGTTCCAACTGCTGATGTGAGGCCGAAAGTTTACACAGATATTAAACTGCTGATAGATCACAGCTGGATACAGGGACCAGGACTGGAAACTAGAGACTGGACGCTCATCTGGGTTCAGCTTTTAAAGGAGTTCACGTGTGTTTTTCAGGTTTATGCGAATATCTGCTGTACTTGGGTGGAGGATGGGGGTGAGGGGGGTCGTGTGGTGGGTGCTGACTTCTCTGAAAGGATATGAGAGCGGTGACCACTCCCGTGGCCGCGCCCATCACGAAGGAGCCGCTGAAAATGCCAATGAAAACCCCCACAGACTTGAAAAAAGCCGAAGCATCAAACTGGTGCGTGTTGGCGCCGGCTGGCTGGTACGCCACGATGGACCTGAAACACAAAAACATGAGTCAAAGGTGACTTGTGATCTTCCAGCAGGGGGAGCCAGAGCACTGCCTGCAGCCCCCACAGGTGGTCACTAGAATCCACAGCTGGAAACATCTGAGTGCAGCGCTGAATGCAGTCAGAGGTTTCTTTAAATAAAAACAGTCAGACTGCTGGGCTCACAAACACCTGGAGCAGGGACAGGAAGTGGTAACGTTCACTGATCAGCACGCCAGCAGTGTCCCATTTCCTATTTCTGTGTTAAGAAGCAAATAAGCAGCTGAGAGCTGCGCAGACGTTTACTTCCTAAGCAGTGAGGGTAACGCATGCCCACCTGCTGCCGGAGCCCCGCCTCCCTCAGCTGTTAATGATCACAGCTGAGGATGCAGATGTTATGAAGTCATGACTGTCAGCAGCTGGTCTGTTGTGTCATTTACTCAGTTAATCAGACCTGTCGTCTTTAAAATCATAGCTCACCGCAGGGGTCAAAGGTCCCTACTGCTGATCACTGTCATCTAAACCAGTAAATGTGGGTAAAGCGAGGCATGGACTCACGAGGACAGCACAATGGCCACGGCGTCGTTCATGACGCTCTCGCCGAAAAGCAGCGCGTACAGATCCCCGTCAGCGTGCAGCTCGTTAAAGATGGCCAGCACCGTCACTGCGAAGACACAAAGAAAACACTGAAAACCTTGCTCGCGTTCACACTCATGCACGCCGCCTTCCTTCCCGTGCTCGTGTTCATGCCTGGGTCCGTGGCAGAGATGATGGCGCCAAAGAAAAGGCAGTCAGTGTAGTAAAACTTCCCCGTCAGCTGACCCACTGCCTGCATCAGCTTGACCACGCCGTACATCAGGTTCCTGCGGAGGGAACAGGTATGACACGTCAGTCACGCAGCAGCAAACCGAAGGTGATGTCACACCTGGCTCTTACTCACCCGATGACGAAACAGGAGACGGCGGTGCCCAGGAAGGCGTAGGTGATGATGGAGCCCAGGTTCCTGAAGAAGTGTCTCTGGAAGAAGCAAGAAGAAGAAAGAGAAGAAGAAATGTGGTTCTTCCTCACACTCACCCAGCCAGGCAGCCAATCAGAGGCCTCTGCGGCTCGCTGCCGCACGGAGCGCGCTCAGCTCTCTATGCAGGCCAAAGGGAAAGTGCTGAGTCAGGTTTCTAAAGGACGTGAACCTGTACAGGTCGGCGCTCAGTTCTGTTTGCATCCAACCCACCTGACTCACACATCAACCAAACAGCAACGCCAGACAAAAATGCTCTTCTTCCTTCCTGTTTCCTGTTTCCTGCTGAATCAGCAGATCCAGCGTGAAAAACAATTTCACAAGAAAAGCACAAAATGCTGCTCATGCACTCTTCAGCTGCACAGCACACATAAGCAGCACCACAGTACAGATGAAGGCAGGTGTGTTTACCTGCAGGTTCTTCTGGGTTCATGAAAGATTTTTGGAAAAGTCGGTTAGGTGATCAGGAAAGATGGCCAGGTTCACTCCAAATTCATTGGTTGATATTTCTCATAAGACTTGCCTTCTAGCGACCCACCCTGGAGTGTTATTGGTCAGACTGGAGCGCCTGAGCTGCTGGTGGATGTCTGTGTGGCTCCGCCTATCTATTCTGGCGTAACCTTGATATCGTTCATGAGTGCGTTATGTTATCAGGTGAGATGTGACCTTGCTGTGAAAGCATCACCTGCTATGCTTTAAATGTAAATATGGAGACAGGTGAAGCAGTCAGAGCATCACCGTTCCTCTGCTCACACGCACACCCCCACCCGTCCACACACAGCAGGTGACTCTTACCTTCTTCAGACTGTAGCCCGCATGGAAAATGATGGGAGGCAGCAAAATGTTGAAGAAGACCTCGGGGTCAAAGGTCACCTGGAAAACACATAAAGTTTGAAGTTGCCGGGCGGATGTGAGAGATGCCAGCGTACTTCCTTGCCTTCCTCACCTTTCGCAGCATGTCGTTCTGCTCCACGTTGTGTATCTCGCGGGAGTTGATCTCTCCTTTCAGCGTGTACTCAAAGAACTTCCCGCTGACATTCAGCAGCAGTGTGCTGGTGGGTCCCTCCCTCAGCGAGCAGCTTGCTGGCGTCTTGTTGTGATAGCTGTTGGCTGGGATGCCATAACGCAGAATCACACCAACCAGTAAACCTGAGAGAAACAAACAGAAATACCGAAAGGTTAGTGGGGACCTCGTGTCTCTGTTTCTGGTCTCAGTCACAGACTGCTGGACCTGATTTTCCATCAGTCTGTTTTCATAGATACTGATTCATGTCCAGGAAGCAAAGGGGCCACTTTAACCTCCTAGGACCTGGCGTCCACATATGTGGACATCACATTTTGGGTTATTTAGACCAAAATACTCAATTTTGCTGCCCAAGAGCCCGATATCCACTTACAAGGACATTATATT